ACTACAATTCAGTCATAAAACTAATAAAGCATAACAAGAAAAAGATAAATTAAATTAATAAACAAAAAATTATTACTTTGTTCATCTAAAATTTTTTCATCACAATTTTTTTACAGTCCAATTCAAAGTTGCATCATAACAACGTGCAAAAAAAACTAAAAAAGTATAACAACATGCAAAAACAACTAAAAAAGTATATTTGCTCCTTGGCACAAAACCCTTGTCATACAAGTAATTTCCTCCCTTTTTTTTTATTTTAGTTTTTTTGAGGAAATTGCCTTTAGAGTGGCATCCCCAAGAATATTTAATTTGGAGCTCCAAATCCCTTGCATATACCGCTCATGTCAAAGGGTGACCCTTATTTAATTTGACCATGTACTAGATTTGAGTACTTTTCAGCTTAAGTTATTTTTTGAGGAAATTATTTTTGGAGAGGAGATTGAAATGGTACTTTTTTTTTCTTCTCTCTCTCTCTCTCTCTCTTTTAGGGTCCCTCAACCACCCCAAAAATGGGGGTTATTAGGGAGGGGAACATTTACGGTCCAATGTAGTGAGGGGCACATAAAATTTTTCCACTAAATAATGTATTACCAAATTAAAAAAACATAAAATCAATTAAATGATCTGACAATAGGAAAAGGGGAAAATATCTTGTCTCTAGAACATGTATATTGTTGGGCATTGAGACCCTACATCGCTCTTTCATTTACCAATTAACGATGGGATCGTAGGCTTTTCATAGAGCCCTCATTTTTAAGCAAGAATTCTATTATTTGCGAATAAGCTTATATATCGAATGTTAATTAACTTTATGAAAGAGTTATGTGTTCTAATTTGACTTCCCAGGTGATTGTTAAGTCCTTTCACCCAAAGTAAATAATCATGTAGTATACAGTCCCTCTCTGATATTAGTGCAAATCCAACAATTGGGTGGTAGCCAAACACTACATTAAATTCAAGAGAAATTGATAGGATATTATTCCTTAGAGGAGAGGTAATAAGAAGCATTTTCATTCATGATTCATCCATTAGGCATGGACTAGGTGGTGGTAGTGATAATTTATTTACAGGACCATAATTTACATTAATTCCAATGGGCAGAGACTAATTTGGGAAGATTTTTTTATCCAAAATTTTGGAAACTATTTAAAAACATTAGATGATTATATTAAAGAAAAAAAAAGAATTTTGAGTTTTCTAACACTTGATCTCACCCTTAAAAAATTGGACGGTTTCTATTCAATATTAAAGTTTTAATTTTTAAAGCTCATAGAGCATGCAATATGGAAATTTTTTTTTAGAGTATAGCATTTCTGTTGAAGAAGTTACATCCCCAAACTTTGGGGTTTTAAAAATGGGAAAATTTTATATAAGATTGCAACTTTTAAAATATAGAATTTAGTTACACCTCAAAAATCCACTATAAAAGGTGGTTTGGATAACGGAAAACCCTCTAATTAATTATCTCAACATCAAGATGTAAAATATGAAAAGAAAAAGGATTTCTAGTCCTAATAATAGTATATCTTGCAACATATTATCTTGATTGTCCATGTTCAAGATTTTCATGTATTTATAGATCTATTTGATTTGAATTTTTTTGGAATTTAAAATTTTATAATTAGAGATGAAAATATATTTTCAAGCCTCTAAAAAACTTTTGTCACCAAAATTATATTTAAGATAAAATTTGGAGGTGCGCCTTAATTTGATTGTTTGAGGTTGCAATCTTATGCAAACCATACCCTTTTTAATTACTCTTATATTGGATTTTACCAAAAGATATAAACATATAGTATGCTCCCTCACAAGCTTCAAGTCTTTTCACTTTATAATATATCAAATGGAATTGTTATGCTAACTGGGGTGGTGTTGTAAAACCCAGCGACCCCCCTTATATTTTCTTTTTAACCTTAGATAATGTTTTCTTAGGCGTTCCCAACCCATAGACCCCTCTTTTTATTTTATTTTATTTTATTTATAATATTTTGTGGATGCCAGTCAATCCAGGTTTTGAAAAACTGGACTAGTCAATGTTTTAGGGCCTGTTTGATAACAAAATCTGAAAAAAAATTTAATTGACTTTTTCCTAATTGTAATTTGAGGAAATGACATTTGCTATATGGGGGTGTTTGATTGGTTTTTTCTGAATTATAATTAGGAAATGTTCAAATTGGGCCGTTTGATTGACATTTTCAAATTATAGTTCTAAATGTATAGACTCCAAGTGATCCATACTTGTCACTGCTAATAACTTTTCAAGTGAAAATATATTATGCATAAAAGGACCTACTTCATCATTAATACAATCATATTATAATGATCAACTAAAATAGCATTCGGCAAAAAATAATATCCATACAAGTAAAAAGATAGATGATTAGAATAACAAATATACAATCATAGTTCTCATTAACTCATAAGGCCCTGCACTTTTTGTTGTTGCTGAGAGTAATCGACCCACATTTTGTATGATAATAAAATAAATGAAAAAAAAATTCACTTATAAATGGATATGGTTTGCATAACGTTGCAACCTCGAACAATCCAATTAAAGCGTACCTCTAAATTTTATCATAAATATATAATTTTGATATAATTTTTTTTTAGGATGGTTTGAGAGTCTATTTTCATATTTAAGTATAAAATTTTAAACTAAATAACTGGTTCAGATTAAGTAGATCTATAAACACATGAAAAATTTGAAAATGGACGGTTAGGATAATGTATTGCAGGATGCATTATTTTGCGGACTCAAAATCTTCTTTCTTTTCATATTCATGTATCTCAATGTCGAGATGATGAATTAGAGGGTTTTCCAACCTCCAAATAACGATGGATTTTTGAGGTGCACCCTTAATTTTACATTTAAGGTTGCAAACTTTATATAGACTTTTGGGAATGAAAAAAAAACCTCAATTTTCATAAATCTCGCTCACACTATTTTTCACTTTTGACTTTTTTACCAAAATAGCATATACGGTAATCGCAGTATCTTACTAACTGCTGCATTACGCTACTTTAAGTACCATAATGACGATGCTAAGTATTAGGGTCCAGTGAACATTACTGTCGTTAAAGTACCAGAATGCTTAACCTGGTCATTACAGTCGGTAATACGATTACTATGAAGGCTATTTTGGTTAAAAAATATCAATTTTTTTTAAAAAAAATAAACAAAAAAAAAAGATGATGTCGATAAAATTTATAAAAGTTGAGAATAACTTTCTTCAACTTTTTCCCTTACAAATTTCAATTTCAATAAGAATGATGATCTTATAAGACTCTCCTCCAACCATATTATATGTGTAGGATTTTAAAGGGCTACCATTAAAGTCCCCGCGGATCTCTAAAAATTTTATTTTATGGGTTTGGGATTTGATTTTTCTATGATTTTGTGTAAAATTTAATGGTCTTACCCATAAGTGGGAGACTCTGCAAAGACTCTCCAAACGCAAAGGGGCTTGCTTGAAGTTTACGTCAGGCACCAGGTATTTGCCGGAAACGGTTGTAACGCGGTCCAACTACCCTACAGCGCCCCTGAATAAGGTAATAAACACGCTTGGCCCGTTTCCTTTGCGTCGCCATCGGCCATTTGTTGATAGCAGTGACAATGGCGGAAAAGCTTCTTCTTGTTGTTGTTATGTTACTGCTGGTTTCTTGTCCTCCACCTCTTATCAAAGCCCAGGCCCTTAAGTCTGCAACTGCCTTTGTGGAGAACGTCATATATGGAAACAAGATTGCCATCTTTTCCAAATCATACTGCCCGTACGCTCTCTCTTTCTTATTCTTCTTTTGCGTACCTCTGGTGTCTGTTTTGTGGATCAGATTCATTCTTGTTTATTTATGTTGAGCTGGGATTCCTCCCTCTGTGTGTGTTTGCAATTGCTGCATTTCTTTTGGAAAAGATATATGTAAGACTGAATTTCAAAAAAAAAAGAAAACATGTAGACTGGACACACAGCTGTGAAAGAGAACAAAGAAAAAAATTGAGAGAGGTTTATGCTTCACTTTACTCTATGCAAATTCTGTAGTGATCCAATATGGGGTTTCTTTGAATTGGTCTAATTTTGAATGTTTGATTATGTAAAGTGTCTTTGAATCTTTAGGATTCTTGAATTCGTAACTATCCTGTAAAATATCTAAAAAAATATCCTATAAAATATCTCTGAGTTGATTGCTGGTTGTCTTGATTGTGGTTCCCCTAATCAAGACATTGAACTTTTTTTGTAATCTGTTCTACATTTGAGTAACTGAATAGGGCCATTGATCTTGGCCATTGTTAAAATGACCTTTACAGTTTAAACATGGTGGACATGGTGTCACATAAGAGATTGTTACCATTGCGGGTCTATCCATTCATGATGCTCTTATTGGGGGGTTTCTAGCACTGAAGGTCGGGTTCCAAAATTGTATAGGTTTATAGCAATGTGGCTCAAACAATATGTGTTTCTTCAATATGGGTCAAGTAGGACACATTTCTATCAGCGCTATCAATATGGGTGGATCTTCCAAATGCATATGCTTTGTGGGAGCATTGAGGCATTAACATGCAAGAAGACTATTGTCTACTTGTAAGGAGGAATCTCCATTCAAAGTGGTCTACATGTGCTTTAAAATTGCTTAACATTCTAGGGCTATTATTTCTTTTCTCCATGAATCTTCTTATTAAGTTTTATTACTGTGTCTTCTCTTAGATTACCATGGCCATTTAAAGTAGAACTATGGGGTCAGGTTTTCAGAGCTTTTTCTTGAGAACTCTTTGGAAAGGTCGTAGCCGCTGGTACTTTTTGTCTGGACCTGATTCTGTTGCCATCTGTTTTCCTCTTTGCTCCCCTTGTTAAAAATTTGAAATGAAATAAAATAAAATCGACACCATGGTTGTCAAATCAACCAGTGAATCTGAAGTTTGGATAGGAGAGATCAAGAATGAACTGATCAGGAGAAACTTCTGTGAGCAATTATCTTGCAATCGTCTTATGATAATATCTTACAAATATTAATTGTAGCAATAGATAGGAGATATGACCTGCTTGGAGCCCATAGCATAGCACTGCTACACTTCCTAATTCTATATCTCATCAAGCTAGCTGTGTAGCTATAACCAACAACCAACTTAAGCTGGGATTGATTTCCCAAAATTTGATGGGGGAAGAATCTACTAATTGTATTTATTATTCATAGAGATTTTACCTTCAATCAACTCAATGGAAAGGGTCTGTTTGCTTTCTGTGTAGAGCATGAGGTGGGATGGAACCATAAAAAGGAAAAAAATCAGTGCCCTAACACAGTCTGATTTAGGGTTTGGTGTCGAATGAATCTACTTCCAGTTGCTTATCAAATCTCTCTTGAGAAAGGGCATATTAAGTATTCTCGCTGATTGACTGTAGGTTCATATACAATTTGAAGATTTCACCGGGGCACTTATTATATTATGTCAAACTAGTTCATCACTCAACTATTGGACTCACTGCAAATACTTGGCTAACCAAACAAGTTGGCTAACTCATGCAATTCTACAAGTTGTTTTGTTAGTGGGCTTTAGGACAAGGATTGACATGATTAAAAAATATTCCAACTTAAAACAATGTCAGAAGCTAGGTCTTTCCCTGAGTATAGGATGACAAATAACTGGTTAGATTGATATGCCATCTCGTAGTAAAACTCCTGTACCATTAGTTAGTTCAACATTCATGCCAAGTGTTTAACACCTATCAATGAGAGAACAACGTGATAAAGGTTCATATCATAGTTGTGTTGAGAAGTATAAATTGACTTATCATGGTAAAGTTGAAAATTTTGGATACGCTAGATAGGTGTCTAAGTTTGTAAGATGATTCTGAGTTCATTCTCGTACTTGTTGAACTTAGTAACGGAGATTGCAGCGGAATTTCCTTTGGAAGGGGAGTGTTGTGGGGGTATAAGTTTCGACTTGTTCTTTGGAAGAGATATGTCGACCAATGTGATACAAGCGATGTTCAAAAAAGGGAGGCGGGCGCCACCTTTGTCCGGGTCTTTTTTTTTTCCATTGCTGGGCACCATAATTTTTTTTTTGTTGCCAAATTTCTTAATTTTCTTATAATTAATCTCCCATCCAACAAAAACATGCAACTAATCCTAATTTGTGAGGATCGCTTGCACATTTAGTACTACATATCATTGAGACTCCTTTTTATCATCAACGACCATTTCAAAATCATGTTTAAAGTATAAAAGAAGCCATGTTTATGAAATAATCAACGGAAATCACAACGCAGTTCCTCAAATTAACCAATAATTGTCCCCAATTAACCATCATTTTCCCTTAGAGCAACTAAAAATCAGTGATATAACTCGAAAACCCGTAGGCCCGCTTAAGTTTACTAAGGGGGCTTGCACTTTGTTTGGGGTTTGAGGGGCTCGATTGCAAACCCCCTCCCCCCCCCCCAAAAAAAAAAACTTTTCCCCACTTTTTAAAAGAGGGGGGAGGTACTTTGCCTGTGGCTGTGGGCCTTTTTCAGCTCTTGGCCAAGTTGTTTCAAATCGCCGCCTAGGCGACCATCTTGAGGTGATTGCCTTGGCGGCGCTATGGCTGCATTGGTGGGTTCCTACGAGCAAGGACGTTCACCTAGGTGTTTTGGCCAATTTTCAAACATTGGATATGAGAAACTAGCATTCGAAAGATTCAAGTGGCAAATTCAGCCCTCTTTGCCAAGTAGCTTTGCGGTGTGGGAGAGGAGAGTGAAGTTTTCTGGAGGGAGATTATTTGACGGAAGTGTGGTTTCTCAGAGTTGTGCAATGATCTGAGGATTCCAAGGAGATGCGATAGAGCATGCAAACAGTTTTGACAGGATTTGATATGGGGACACCATGCTGAGGACTGGATATCCAGCATTATTAATGTTTGATACTAGCCTTGATGCTAGGGTAATTGGTTGCTTAGGTTGGGGGGACTAAGGTGACATGGTATTTGACTTTTCATGGGGATCTTCAAGATGGTTGTCTAGGAGAGTAAGCGAGAACCTTGTCCGAGTTGGAAGATGTCATGTGCTCATGTGAGGGGTGGATATTCAAGGATTCTTACTGCTAGATCTTTTTATAGGAATATATCAGGTGACTGTGGCCCCTGATCTTGTTGTAAGGATAGTTTGGAGGTCCAGGCTCCTCCCTGGGTTAGCTTTTGGATGGGTGGCGTGCCATTGGATTATATTGACTGTTGGCTGCCTCGGGCTTTGCAAATTCCTGATTTGTATTGAATGTTAAGCTGGATTCAAGTGGAAAGCAAGAGGAAGGCCCAAAAGGACATGGATAGTAGTAATAAAAAATATGATGACTTTTAGTCTTATTGAGGATATGACCCTTGATAAAAAAGATTGGAAGAACAAGATTCGTGTAGTTGAACCCAAATAATTGGGATAAGGCTTGGATGATGATGATGATGATTTAATGTTAAGGTGAGGAGAGAACTTCATGCCACCTTCTTATATCTACATATATGTTATGGCTATATGGGACTATGTTCTTAACCTCTTTGGCATATAATGGGTGACCTTAGCTTCTATGGAGGACCTGACGGTGAGGTGTGTCTCTAGAGTAATGTCACTTAGAAGTCAGGGTGCTTCGTCAATTAAGTATTACAAGTAATATTTGGTGTATTTGGAAAGAGAGAAATGACCTTATTTTTAGAGATCAAAGGCACATGAGTTGGTCCTTTGGAAGAGGATTAGGAATATGGTGACCTAATGGATTTTGATTCATCCAGAATTTGAGGCTTTTGGGCCATTTACTTTGTTCATGATTGGAAGCTTGTGGCCTTATTAGGTCCATCTTTGTTTCAGCGCAGAACAGCTTGGGTTGCTCCAATTAAAAGAACTATTAAGCTAAATTTTGATGGATGTTCACCTCGTAGTTCTTTCCTGGCAGGTGTAGTTGTGATTTTTAGAGATGAAGAAGGTAAGAAGCTCAAAAGCTATACAGGCCTTTGTGTGTGTGTGATTCTACATTAGTGGAGACTCATGCATTTCCTATAGGTCTCCGGATCTGCCCCTTCCATCAAGGGTGTAGATTGATAGTAAAGGGGGATTGTTTGAATGCAGTGGCTTAAAAAACCGATCGGTGCACACCCAAAAACCTATCCGGATCGGTGAATCGGCGTTTCTGATCGGGAATCGGCCGAATCGGTCGGATTAGGCCTTAAAAAAATCCAAAAAAATTATGAAAAATTATTATAAATGTTGTTTTTTAGAAAATCCAATAAGAAATGAGGGTATTACATTAATAACTTTTAATTTTTTGCATAAATATGCGAATATTGAGATGTTCTTTCCCTGTATGAAGTTATTAAGGCC